TTAAAATATTAGTCATTCATTGGTTGATGAACATTTAGGCTCTTTCCATAATTTGCCCATTGTTGAAAGCACTGTTATAAACATTGGGGTACATGTGCCCTTATGAATCAGCACTCCTGTATCCTTTGGATAAATTCCTAGTTGTGCTATTGCTGGGTCGTAGGGTGATTCTATTTTTAATTTTTTGAGGAACCTCCACACTATTTTCCAGAGTGGCTGCACCATTTTGCATTCCCACCAGCAGTGCAAGAGGGTTCCTGTTTCTCCACATCCTCACCAGCATCTGTTGTTTCCTGAGTTGTTAATTTTAGCCACTCTAACCAATGTGAGGTGGTATCTCAATGTGGTTTTGATTTGTATTTCCCTGATGAGCATCTTTTCATGTGTATGTTAGCTAATTGACAATAAATGATATTTAAAAAATAAATAAGTAGACAATAAATTATATTTAAAAAATATTTCATAGAATTCACCTGTGAAGCTGAAAATAAAATAAAATAAAATTGAAAGCAAAAAAACTTTAAAATATTAAAGGAAGTAAATTTCAGAAATTTTTACTACTATATCCATTCTATAAAGTGAAAGACACCAGAGACAACAATCCATAAGTAATTCTCCAACCTTTTAGAAAATACAATCTTTTATATTAAACCTAAGACGCTCTTCTAAAGAGAAATTTATTTCCTTTTAATCTTTCAATTTTATATTACTAAGAACTAATAAAAGTTGAAATGATTAAACTTCCATTTTTGGGGCGCCTGGGTGGCTTAGTCGGTTAAGCGTCCGACTTAAGCTCAAGTCATGATCTCACGGTTCATGAGTTCTAGCCCGTGTTGGGCTTTGTGCTAACAGCTTGGAGCCTGGGGCCTGCTTCAGATTCTGTGTCCCCCTCCCTCTCTGCCCTTCCCCTGCTCATGCTCTGGTTCTCTCTCTCAAAAATAAATAAACATTAAAAAAAATATTTTTTTAAATGTCCATTTTCAAGAATGTTAATTCCAAACAAAAGTAGTATAAGGATACCAATGGAACAAATGTTTCTTAACCTTGACTTAGAACATATGTTTCTTGGAAAATAAAAATAATTAAAAGCTTTAACAACTATTAGAAACTTTCTTATTTTATGTTTTGTTAGAAAGGAAGAAAAAAACTAAGAAATCATGTACTCGAGGAAATGGTGATAGAATGGAGAAGCGACTTCTGTAGACAATTTTCCTCCCTTAAGCAAATGTTACCAGTATTTAATAGACAAACTTTCACTTAACATAAAATACTCAGTATATCAAGGTAACAAAATTCTAATGATTATGAACAAAATTATTAAAATTCATAATTTATTAATGAACTTTCTAAAGTACCAACTAGTATAAAAGAAATAAACTAAAAACATATTTGGCTTCTTGATTAAACAAGTCCAACTAAGAATCTCTAATACGATGCCATCTACAGACTATTCCTAGTTTCCCACCTCCCTGTCCCTACTTTACTGTAGAACTGCCAGTCCTTTCCCAAACTGTACACTTCATATGATGGTACCAACTTGTATTGAGAGTCTTCCCAGGAACCAATTCTATAAACTTGTTATCTTGTTGACTATGAGAACAAAGTAGAAAAATTGCACATATGCCTGTTCATTACAGACTTATACTGAGATCTTTATTGGATGAAAGCCAAATGCTTTGCGAAATAATTGATTTGCTCTTACATACCTTGTAAATCATAATCTTCTTTCCCTCTACAATGGCAGCTAGAAAGTTAAGACTCAGATACATGGTTCACACTAGCAAGTATATAAAACTTTATGTTACAACTTGTATGCTAATTTTATTCTATCCATTTTATATCCTTACCTTTGATTCCTCTTTGCTTCATTTTTCTCCTCTACTTCTAGTTAACATTATCCCTGCAATGTTCTCTATACCTTTGAAAAGTACCTTCAATTCTTTTGGGAATTGGTGGGCCAGAAATAGCAGTAATATGGCTGAATAAGATCCCTCAATTATGTGTTAGAATATTCATGTTCTAGCCTGTGTAGTAAATAATTTGGCCTTGCCCAGAGGGTTCTGGCCTTTGCCCTCAAGCTTCTGGAAAGTAATCTATGCCATGTCTGATAGAAGTGTCTTTGCTCAGGATGAAAGCTGGCCACACTAGATCTTGGGGTGAGCCTGGCCACACCCATTAGTTTTAGGGAGGGGACTAGCCATGCCAGAGAGAACAACCATGTGGTTTAAGGTGGAGACTTTAGGTCACTGGATCTGGAAGTGAGCTCAATGGGTAATCAATCAATGGGTAATCAATCAATCAACCAATAGACTATGCACTAAAGCCTCAATAAAAAATTTGGACACTGAGGCTTGGGTAAGCTTCCCTAGTTGGCAATATTCTGCACGTACTATCACACATCGATGCTAGGAAAGTAATAAATCCTAAGGACAAGGGAAACTTTTCATGTGGAACCCTCCCAGACTCTGACCTATTATATCTCTTCTTTTGGCTAATTTTAACCTATATCCATTCCCAGTAATAAATAGCAGCCATGGGCATCATGTTTTCAGAAAGTTCTGTGAGTCCTTCTAGCAAATTATGAAACCCGAGAATGGTTCTGGGAACCCTGTGAACTTGCAAGTGGTGTCAGAAGTGAGGGGAGTCTTGTGCTGAGGACTAGTCCCTCGAATCTTAGAGCTTGGCTTACTCTGGGCTGCAGTTGGGTCATTTGCTACCTCTCTGACTTGGACCAGTTACCTAGACTTTCTCTGTCTCAGTTTTTCACTTACACAATACATACTCACTTGCCCTGCCACTTTGAAGAGTTACAATGATCAAAGGAGAAGATACAATGTGAAAATATCCTAAAGACAAATGATCATAGAACATTAATTAAAAATCTGAGATTTACATGAAAGTAATTTTAAAGGTAAATTCATGAAAACAAAGTTTTCAAAAGGAAAGAAATTTTAGGCCTCAAATTGCCCAGACCCCTTACCTGGGGGTAACCTGAGTGATATCAGAAGGATGCAATATCCTACAGGTAGTGAAGGTGAATGTCGAGTTTGTGCATGACAGACACTTTCCTGGGTTTGAAGTTGCAACTGAAGTAGAGATTTTTGTGGAATCAAAAAAAATTGAAATACTAGGTTAATAATGTAAGACCATCACTATTAATAATATAGCATTAATCAAGGGTATTTTGTACAAAAACCACTAAATTTGGAAATGAAATATACATAAATATTGTATTAGTATCACCTGGCTAGTACATAGTTGAATCCTTCAATACTTTAAAACTGTAATTTAGGGGCGCCTGGGTGGCGCAGTCGGTTAAGCGTCCGACTTCAGCCAGGTTACGATCTCGCGGTCCGTGAGTTC